ATCCATCCATCCATCCATCCATCCATCCATCCATCCATCCATCCATCCATCCATCCATCCATCCATCCATCCAGAGAAATAAAGTCCTAGAACAATAAAGTAAACAAAAAAAGTGTTGATATAAGAAAAAAAGTCATATTATGAGAAATAAGGGGAACATTTCCAGAATAACAACAGTTTGCAGAACTATTTCAGTGCTGAGTAATGGGGCCAGGTTCGATTCTTTTAATTATTTTTATTCGTTATGAGAATAAAGTAGGGAGAATGGAGATAAAGGGATATGAAAATAAACACGTAATATTACAAAAATAAAAATATTATGAATATAAAGTATATTCTGAGATTAAAGTCCCTCTGATACTGTTTAAGTGTCTGAGTCTATCAGCAGATTTGCCACATTCAGCATGGCGGACGCTCTGACTCATCCGCAGCATAGACAGACCCAACGAGGGGTCTACATTTATAATGTCTATGCTTAGAAATTGGATGTGTGAAATTGGACTTCTGAGAGTGTTTATTACTTATTAAATTTTTTTCATAACTTCAAACTAGTTTTCAGTAAAAAAAAAATAAATAAACAATTTTATGTGGATGCTTTGAGCTGATTAAGCTGCATGCAAAAATGTTTAGATCCAAACAGTACAAGTTTGATCTTTATCCTTTATTTAGCTGCATCCTTAGTTGATTTTATGGGGAGGGTGTGTTTGCTCTTCCTTACCCATTTCACCGCTGCCAGTATATTTATTACTGTGCCGTCCAGCCTCTGTCCGTTGGCCATAATATCTCCCAGGGAGTAGAAATCCCCAGGGTCTTTCACAGGGAGGTGAAGGAGAGGCAGGAGCCCGTCGATGGTGTCCACATCGGCACACAGACACACCTGGGAGTGATTCTCTGTGACTAACAGCCTGTAGTGGCTAGGAGAGAAAAAACGGATTACACCCTGTATAGCAACAATGTGAATAACACTCAGTTTAGTTTACAATTATTTACCTTGGTGTTTCAGGGCAGAACTTGTCTCCTTTCTCTGGATCTTTGGTGGAAACTAGAGGGTTTTCAATGATCACTGAGGAACAAGCATTTATATTGTCAAAAAAGCTCATTGCTCACTTAAATAAACAACCCTGATAGTTTACTACAGAAAGACAACTTTTGAGTTTAAGCCTTTAATATCAGTATTGCAAAAAAGTAACTGTATTTTGTTTCCAAGTTTGAAGGTGTTTCAATTAAAAATGTCAAAAATGGCATTGAGTTCAAGGCTTTATAGAGCGGACCAAAAAAAAAGCCTTGTTTTGGCTTAGAAGACATGCAAATTGAACTTTAATATCAGTAATCCACAAAAAGCAAAGGAAGAAGGAAAGGAAGAAAAGTTTAGAGGAATGAAAATGGAAGGAGGGAGGAATGACAGGAAAAAATAAAGAAAACATGGAACACAAACAGATATGAAATGACAAACGAAGGTAAAAAGTAGAGGTAGGAAAAAAGGAAAAAGGGGTGAGATTATAATAGAAAGTATGCACAATAAAAACCCACTGAAAACAAATATTTTATCTTATGCTTTTAACTAATTTCAGACCTGAAAATAACTCAATCAAAATCCAGTTTTCCAAACTGTGTAGCCACCCTATAAAATCCTATATAATGTTTGTTATAAACTTCTTTTTTAATGCGAACAGTCCATATTAACAATTTAGTCTAATATCTTTTATAGTTGAAAACATTCCTAATCATTCTTTAATCCCCACCTCTCATACAAACCCTGACATTTAAAGGGATGTTTCAAGCTGTTTTAAACTAAACATGTTCCCACCACAGTCTCCAATGCTGAAGCTGCTGGCCAGCCCGTTGACGTACGCCTCATTCCCCCAGGCGGTCACATTGATAAAGAAGTCAGGGGAGTCTTTCATGGTGAAACCAAAAGTGAATCGCTCAATCTCAGCATCTGAAATCAGGGAAGACACAGGCTTTTATTGCCCAGATGGTTGATAGAGAAAAGTAAACTGCAAAACTAAGATTTTGACCGACAGATGGCGCTGATGCGCCAGACATTGAGATATCTGAAACTTAGAGAAACTTGCACTGACTTCTCCTATCAGGGAAGCTCCTCACGTCGGTTTTTCCAATAATGACCCCCAAGACTTTCTGAAACAAATCAGGATAAACCAGATTTTTCCCCCCCTCTAAAGTAAATAAATACATCTCACAAATTTTTTAACAAACACAGAAGGAAAATCGCATTTGAAATTCTATATTTTACGGAAGAGGATTAGGGCCACTGAAACAAATAAAAAAGTTAACTGATTTTCAAATATTATTTCAGTTTAATATGGGAAAAAAAAATAAGAATTCTGACTTTTTTCTCAGAATTCTTGACTCCAATCTCAGAATTCTGACTTTAATCTCAGATTATACTGAAATAAAATTTAAAAATCAGTTAACTTTTTTGTTTTTTCAGTGTTCCTAATCCTCTTCCGTAATATTTGGAATCATGAAACCTTAAAAAAAATGTATGTGGACTCACAGGATGAGAAAAGTTGGGATGAAGTTCAGAAATCGAAATATGGCTTTGAGTAGCCATCTTTGTTTAGCAAACGTTAGCTTTTCCTGTCTTTACACGATAAAAAAGAAAAAGAATTTCACAAACACGGAAAAGAACATGATACGGAAATAACTCTATTCAATATAGTTATTCATAATAAAATATTAAAAATATCACAGAAGCTAACGTTTATTTTTAGCTTAAAAAACAACATTCACCTGCTAAACGAGAAGCCAAAACTGAAATGTTATTTATTTAGTAATATTCGACTGAAATAAAATTATCAGCTTTATACTAACTCATTTAGATATAAATGAGCACTTTACCTGCCAAAGTACCTTTTTTTTAAAAATCGAAATTGTATTTTCTCTCAAAAGTGTTGCACACGACCACAAATGCTGCGTTCAAGGTTTTCGGGAAAAATAAGTTTTACAGCTAGCTTAAAATGTAGACCGATATCATCGGTATAAATATAGAAAATCATAACGAGAGCATATTTCTTGTTACAAAATCAGTTAGAAAGAGCTATCTATAATTGATAGAGGCCCTAAAGTAGTTCTTGATGCTGTTTAGTCAGTCATCCACAGCTCATGGGTCAGAAGCTAAAAACCTTTTGAAGCCATTATTTCTTAAATATAATTGGTTACCAAAAAAGATAAAAAGTTAACTTTTATAAGCCTTAAAGCATGATTCCACAAATACATTTGAAGTTAATATTATTTGTGTTGTATAAAAAATTAATTAGAGATGGATGGTAGGGTATAAAACATTTTGTTTACATGCAGACCAGTTTTAGAAATTAGAAAAAAGTATGTAATTTCTGTAAATCACTGAGTGAAACATTTTATAGATTATTATACATCGCTTATGTTTTTAACCCTTGGGTTGTTAATCATTTCATATTAGTACAGATTTACATGAGAGCAACAGAAAACATTTTACATAATACAGAAATATGGGTTTAATAACTTATTGAAGATTATTATTTCCCAAACAGTTATTTAATCTGAAAAATAAGTCCCTTCTAAACACAGATTCTCCTTTATCTAATGGCTGCAGGTCTGTGATCAAATATATGTTTTTTATGTATACAGTGTTTTATGTGCATGAATTCTGTATTAATTCTCTTTATTTTTCTTTTTTAATGGAAAAAAATCTAAAACGATTAGAAATGTCCCTAAATCAAACCACACTGTGATGAGATACACAACTTTTCCTTTATTAATTTTATTTTTAATATAACTTTACTATACATTTGCATAATTATATGTAAATAGAGTGGGTTGCATGGAAACTGTTTAAACAATGCCTTAAAAAGTATTTACCCCTGCTTTTGCTGTGTGGCTTTATGGGATTTAACCTACTAACTACTGCTGTTCTGGTTCTCCCCAGGAAGGAACATTTGAGAACAACAAGCATTATGAAGACCAAGGAATGCAGCAGAAAGGTCAACGAGTAGGTTCTGGTTCAGCTTTAGTTCTGAAAAAAAAAAAAAAAAAAGCCCAAATTGAAAACACCTTCCAAAACTCTTCAAATTATTTTCTGAACCAACTGTGAAACATGGACATCCAAGAATGTCAGGATGGACAAGGAAAGCTTTAGGCAGCCAAGAAGTGACTCTGGAGGAGCTGCAGAGATTTGCTAAGCTCTGTGTAAGCATGTTTGAATGTAGCTGATAGTGCATAAATATACAGTGTGATCAGGAAGACCATTTAAAACCCATCAGTGACAGAAGCTGCCCTGGAAACACCCTTAAGCTGATGGGTGACTGGTACTTTTCTTGTTTTGTTTAAAAACGCAAAACTGAACTGGAAGAGATTTGACTTCTACAGCTTTAAAGCACAGAAAACATTGGATATATTAAAAGAAAGTCAAGTTGTTGAAGTAATTGTGGTGTAATCTGATGGGTAATTGTCCAATAATATAGTGACTGCATCTAGTTAAAATGTTCTACTTGATCCAGTTTTATTTCAATAGAAATTTAAAATTATAATTTAATTACACGTGTCTGGCTGCTCTTTAAGTCCATTAATCACAGCAGCACATCGAAGATTCAGTGGATAAATCAAGTTAAACTTTCATTAGGTTCAATAATTTATTCATAATGAATTCATAGCTGTCTTCAGTTTCCTCTTTCAGTCTGTTCTGCAGACGTAAAGATGTCTGAATAAATTATTATGTCTGAATCAAAGAAGGGGAAGCAGCATGTCATCTTTGGATAAAAACAACAAGTCTGTAGAGACAATAAACAACAGAGGGCTTGGATCAACAGAGAGCAGCTGCAGGAATCGTCTGTGATCCGATCTACTGTACTGTTCAGGTTGGGTCCTTTATGGCCGTCAATATGAACCACACAGTATCCCATCCATAGATGTCTGCCATGTGCACAGAGGCAGTGAGGCTGTGTCAGACTTGTCACCCAGTGGAAACCTCTCTTCTCCTTCCAAACATGGACCTAGATGAAGCTTCATTTAAGGCTTGTAATTTGATCTACTGGAAAAGGCTTTCTCTCTGTGCTTGACACATTCACTGACAAACCATGAAAAAATTTTGAGAAAAAAGTCAACCTTTGATTTAAAAAGCCGGTACTCAAGAAAAAATCTAATAAACCTGCTCATAAAAATCTAAAGATATTTGACCCAAATCAAAAGTTATTTTTGAATTAATCTGTAATTATTTCAATCCGCAGACCACAACTTTCTGTTTCTGTAGGGTAAAAATGTGACACAGCACACAGCCTCATTTGTCCTTGTCAGCAGAGAGCAAACCATTCAAGTTGGTCTTCATAAAAGAGCTTCTTGCCTAACCCTCTAACATACAAAGTTTAATTCACATCTGCAAAAAAAAAAAAAAAAAAAAAAAAAAAAAAAAAAAAAAAAATATATATACCGGTATATATATATATATATATATATATATATATTTCTTTTTTTATATATATAATATATAAATACAGCTAGTACCTTCTTGGTCTTCTTGGTTTTACCTCTTGACTTTCATATAGCATCTGCATACTGTATTCATGATATAAACTTATCTTAATAATTGTCATATTTTGAGATAAATAGAACCAGTTGTCTTTTTTTAATTGTGTTTTTGAGTGTTTTCCTCATTTCTAAAAAAAACTTTGAAACTTTTTGCACATCTGGGTTTTGGGCAGGTTGGAATTGGGCCCCAATTCCATAAGATTTCGAATTCAACAAGATGTTCTTGATCTTAACAGACCCTCCCTCTTTACAGTTTGTAGCCACAGAAAGGATTTCATGGTCCTAATCATGTGAAGTAGGTTGTCCAATTCCAGAAACAGCTAAGCAGTTGTGAGAAATTCACAACCACTATCATAACTTTAGCTAACTGGTTCTGCCAGGCTACTCCGTGTGTAAGGGGACCAACACCTTCCCGAAAGGTTCGCTTGTGTAAACTTCTTTAGTAAACTATATTACCAAAAGTCTCACCAAAGGTCATCAAGATGTTTTTGGTAAATGTGAAATGGATTTTAATATTCCTTCTGCTTAGCAGTGGTGCTGGGCTTGGATTCCTCCCATGGTGCCATATCTCTCCAGTCTTTTTTTTTTTTTTTATCATTGAATCTGACCTTTGACCCTAATTGAATCATGACGCCTGCAGAGCTTTAAATAAAAAGTTACCAAGATAATAAAGTCATAAGGCATTGATGATTTTTTAAATGCTATTTTTAAGCATCCAGTTATGTCGCAAATTTACATAAATATTAATAAGATGCGTTCAAAAATACCATCTCTATTTGATTTACAGAATAAAAGCCCTCCTATCTAACTGTTTTTTTTCTACATCTTTTAAAAAAAGCCTATTTTTTTTAACTCTTAGATTTAGATTTGTCTTTGGCTGCTGTGTGCATATCCTGTGCTTCAAACGTTAAATTCATGTTTTTGCAGAACATCCTGTATAAAATCTAAGACCAGGGGATGAAGGAAAGAAGCAGATGGTGAACGCATAGAAACTCAAACACACATTTAAGCTCAGGGCATGTAAAAAGTGCTCAAACAGAGCATGTTTGAACTTTTTATTTGCTTTCCTGAGTTTCGTTTCTTGTCTGGTTCTAACTGTAAATCCAACGGTGGATCTTATGAGCACATGTGATCAGGAAGTGAAGGAGCTGTGGTTTATCCACACGATGAAGGATGTTCCCTGTGTTTTATTTGCTGCAACGGGAACGAGCTATGTATGCGGTTTAGTTTCTCACACACACACGTTTGAATGCATGCATTAAAAAACAATGGACCTTTTGTTGAAAATTACACAGCTTTTCATGCAAGGTTCTTAAAAAGATCTAATGAAACCAATCTGCATTATTTAATTGAATCTGACCGATAAAACATACTGTACTGTCCTGTGCA